ACTATTCTGCGTTTTGTATCAAAAGTATTCCATTATATATTTCTCAGTCGCATGGGATTTCCCGTCCCATCAAACTTAGCCTCTCAACCTCTGTTTCTATCTGTGATGCATCTGAGCTCATCCTTAATACATCCTCGAAAATCTTGAGATAATACCAGAGTCTGAAGCCTGAGATACTATAAAGAACTTAAAAAGGCGGTATTGACGCTATGAAATTAAACATGCTTTGGAGATGCGACGAAATTACAAATTTGTAGTTGCCTCAATCTGAGATCTTGCCAAAAAAAAAAAAGAATTAAGACAGAACCCGAGCGACAGTCGACATGCCTTAGGCTAACAGTGAAGAAACAGAGAGAACCCATAAAAGACTATTATTCCTTTTTACTTGAAAGTCATTATGGAACGGATTAGGCATTTTTTTCGATCATATACATTCTAGTGACTCCGAGGAAAGGCAAGGCCATTCATGTGGTCGGTTGGTTTGATCACAATGTCCTTGCAGTAGTCGCGAATGCTGGATTAAGAATCTATAATTTAAAAGTCTATGTTATAAGTAAGCTTAGAGATAAATACGCCTAGGCTCTTGGATTATGTTATCTCGTGAGGATCGAGAAAGAAAAGAATATATAAGCATCATCCTATTTAAAAGTGTTTTCACCGTCTCAAAGAGGAATTGGATGGATGAACAAAGAAGTCATCACTTCTTTGAGCTTTCCGTAATAAGGATCAGTGAATTCATCGCTCTCCTTATAAAAATGATCGATGGGTCGTGAAACGTTGAGGCATCGTACCAGAATGGGGCGTGGCACAGCGGTTGTCGTCAAGAACTCCTCCATTATTATTTTGTAATAATCACTAGCAATCTTTTTCATCTCTCTAATCGCTTCTCCTTTGGTAACACCATGTTGCTTCATGTAACAATTCAGCCCTTTAGCTACTTCTCCTCTGCTCATCTCTTCCTGCTCATCTTTGTTAAGTTACTTTGTAAGAAAAACTTGTTGTTGATGTGATTGTGTACTGTCATGATTTTGTATGTATTACCTCATAGGTGAATATGTCGTTCCTAATACGAAACACGCCATTCAAAGCTTCAAACATTTTCGGTTTCGATTTATACCACTCGCACGTTTGATTCTCATCACAATCTTCCATTGCAATAAAGCTATAGGCAGCAAATTTATCCATTGAAGTCCTCAAACCAATCTTCATGTACTCCTCAAAGGTTGGCACGTGACCTGCGCGTGCCCATCTCGAGATAGCCAAGTAGGCTCTTCCCAAGTTCTTCGTCTATACTCAAAACACATTCTTTTTAAACACACAAACTTTACTACAATTTCTGCTACCCCAAAATTTGGAGGACTCACCTCATCTACCATTAGTTGCACAAGTCGCGATCTTCCTTGTGGCTTCATTTCTTGTTCAATCTCTTCTAAAGTTTCTAACACACTTTGAAAGACGATTCTTAAATAGCTTGGTAGCTTTTCAATGTCCCCAATATCCCACCTGTCTTAAGAGGTCTCGGGGATTACGAGATCGAATTGAATAGAAAGTGAATATTTGTGTATATTTTCTTATCTTAAATAGGTAAATTTCTAACTATCAAATATGTAAATAAATTGTTAACAAGTTATTATTTTGTATGAATAAGCCTATTGATTAATCAATAAATCTAAGAGAAACTATTATACTTCTAAGGTTTTTTTCCAAAATCTATCAACCTGACGATAACTTTTGTATGCCATCTACATACTTCTAAAATTGATCAATGAAATAGCAAATTAGGAGTTAAAAGACAAAACCTTTGGAAAGCATCAACGAGGCTTGTAACTTCAGGAAGAGTGCCATATGCATCACATGTATCATTCAAAACAGTCGTAATCATGGTAACTTTAGTGACAATAATTCTCCCAAGTGAATACCGTGGCTCGAAATACAATGCGAGTGCCCCGAAAAAGACCTCTACTACTCTGTCCCTTATGTAAGGTAGCTTAGATGCAAGATCTAGCTCCTTCCACCATCTGCAATAAACATAAGTATTGAA